TCCTCCTCCTCCTTCTCCTCCTTCTCCTCCTCCTCCTCCTCCTTCTTCTTCTGCTTCTTCTTCTGCTTCTTCTGCTTCTGCTTCTGCTTCTGCTTCTTCTGCTTCTGCTTCTTCTGCTGCTTCTTCTTCTGCTTCTGCTTCTGCTGCTTCTTCTGCTTCTGCTTCTGCTGCTTCTTCTTCTGCTGCTTCTTCTTCTGCTGCTTCTGCTGCTGCTTCTGCTGCTTCTGCTGCTTCTGCTGCTTCTGCTGCTTCTGCTTCTGCTTCTGCTGCTTCTGCTTCTGCTTCTGCTTCTGCTTCTGCTTCTGCTGCTTCTGCTGCTTCTGCTTCTTCTGCTTCTTCTGCTGCTTCTTCTCCTCCTTCTCCTTCTCCTCCTTCTCCTTCTCCTCCTTCTCCTCCTTCTCCTCCTCCTCCTCCTTCTCCTCCTTCTCCTCCTTCTACTCCTTCTCCTCCTTCTCCTTCTCCTTCTCCTTCTCCTCCTTCATTTCGTAAAATAGGTGAAGTTAATGTATACTTCCCAGAAAGCTCAAATAATTGTAAATAGAGACTTAATTAAACTATGTGAGATCCAAAAAGGAACAAGACTCGGTTGCCCATTATCACCTCTTTTGTTTACTTTAGCTCTCGAAATTTTGAATAGATATATAACTTAAAATAGGTGAAGTTAATGTATACTTCCCAGAAAGCTCAAATAATTGTAAATAGAGACTTAATTAAACTATGTGAGATCCAAAAAGGAACAAGACTCGGTTGCCCATTATCACCTCTTTTGTTTACTTTAGCTCTCGAAATTTTGAATAGATATATAACTTGAGAGGATTGGAGGGGTTAAGGGATTATGTAGATGACTTGGTGGGTTAACCTTAGAAAATTCTTTAAAAGGAACAGAAGTATTAATGTCTAAACTGAAAGAATTTGGTGCATTAGCGGGGCTTAAAATTAATAAACAGAAAACAAAGAAGTTAACTAAAATTTTGAAAATACAAGAGCAAACAATTGATGAATAAAACTGGTTTTAAGATTGAAAAAAGGTGAAATATCTGGGCATTATGTTGACAAATATGAACTGTATGTTATTTCAAAATAATTATGTAAAGACCTGGAATTAAGTTAAAAAAAGACTTGTCAAGATGGGAGAAACTGCAATTTTCTTTGTTGGGAAGAATATCTATGATCAAAATGAATGTTTTACTCAGAATGTTATTTTGTTTAAGACTGTAATGGTGCTGACCAGGGCTTTTTTTGTAGAAAAATCCCAGCAGAAACTCATTATCATAATAGGCCATACCCAACAGCAGAAACATATTAGCATATTAGGCCACACCCTGACAGCACAGCTCATTAGCATATCAGGCCACACACCCCATGCCTTCCCTTGGCTTGCCTGGGTGTCCCGCGACTGACTTCCCTTGGTCTCACTGGGTACCCTGCTACTGTGGGGAGCCTGGCAAGCCAGCCCTTGGGTAGGCTGGGGAAGGTACGGGGAGGCATTTAAGTGCCTCCCCGATCCTTCCAGCCCCCCCCCCGCCCCCGGGCCCCCGCCTCAGAGTTGCTGGGGGGTTGCTCTCCAGGCCTTCCCTCTGTAGCCATGCATGTAGATGTTTTGGCTGTAGTGGGTGTGGCCAACTCTGAAGCCAGCCGGAACTTCGTTCCTGTGTGTTCCTGCCCCAAAATAGCCCTGGTGCTGATATTTTATATTCCGTTCAAACTTTGGCCATATGTTTCTGAGCATCAGCCCCCCCCTGCCTGTAAACATGGGGATAATATTGGCTGATCTTTCAGAGTTGGTGTAAGAACTAATAAGATGCCTCCAAGAGCCAACTTGGAAAAGGAAATGTTGTAAACGTAACATCTTTCTTATGTTAAAAAGTATCATCATTTTGATTTCCTCCCCTAAAAATTCCTACAACTATCACACACAAAGAAGTTACAAGGACTTTGTTATCTATTGTAGAACATTCCCCCCCAGTTTGCTTAAGGATATGTTGGAAAATGCAAGGAGCACCATGATTTTACTTCATTTTACAGGAGAAAACCATCAGATTTACTTGTACTGAAAATCTTTGGATGTCTTTCAGTGCCAGTTTGTAAAAATGAAAAATGATTCAGTTAGAATACAACAGCTATTTTATTTACGTTTTAATTAACAAGCTCTCATGTACTGCTGTTTGTTTCTGTAGCCTCTGCTTAAATGGAAGCCACCTCTGAGAGCTGGTTGGTCTCTACTGACGTAGGCTTTGTATAGCAGCTGCATCACCCCAGGAGATTACAATGAGTGGAGGAGGGGAACAGCCAGATATTCTTAGTGCGGGAATATTGGTGAAAGAAAGATGGAAAGTGGTGAGTATATTACTTCCTTTTTAAAAGTATGCTGTTGGTTAGCTTTGTAAGTAAGTCCATAAAGAGGTAGTAGCTGCCTGCTCACCCACACATACCTATGTTAATTCTTTCTGGCATGTTTATCGCCTCAAAATTAAAGAACAGTTTCACTTTTCTGATCTTTTTCAAGATGCTTCCCATGGGTAGTCTTATGTGCTATAGGTGGTTAAGCTTGTGATTATTTGGTCTTTTATGGATGGGCTCAGGGTCAAGTCAATTAAATAGAATTTTCCCCTTGGAGCTATATTAACACAAGTTTCTGTTTTATATTTCATTCCCATGTAATGAATAAGAAGTGGCCTGACAACTGGGAGCAGGGGAATAATAATCTTGCTATATCTTAGGGTTGCCAGGATCCTGTTTTGGGCAAGAAAGCTCCTGCCCCTGGCTGGCCATTCCTGCTGCCATTCAGCTGGGTGGTGGGAGAGAAATAGGGGGGATGGGGAAGATGATTGCCAGTGTCCTGACATGATAATGTCACTTTCAGCATGACCAGAAGTGACATCATCATGTGTCAGCAATGCTCTGGCATTCAGTCAAAACTCTGTGGTTAAAACATAGCATTTGGCTGAATGCTAGAGGATTGCTTGTAATGTTGCTTCCAGTAATGCCAGACGTGACATCATTGTGTTCCTCCCTGACAGGTCAGTCTCCTACCAGTTGCAGGTCTCAAAACTGTTAACCCTACACTGTGGCAATAGACTCTTGTCAGGAGTGTGTTTGCTTACACAGAAAAGTGGTCCATATATGTGAACTGATGGGAGCTGTCAGCCTATGGTGCCACTTTCCCCCCCAATGGGGAAACATATCCAAGTTTCCCCCATTAGAGCAGACAGAAGTTCCCTGTGGCTGTTTCTGATTGGGAAAATGGCATGAAATAAAGCTCCCCACACACTGTGGTCCCAATCCAGTTTGATCCTGTACATGCCTGGGAATTTAAATCCCCTCTCCCCATGTGCTCATGCATGCTTGGGAAGCATAGAACTCCCAGACCACATCTGTTGACCAGGCCCAGAAACAGACCCAGGAAGAATGTATCATGTAGTTAGGTCCTCAGTTGTTTGATCCTGGACTTGCAGCGGTGGCAAGGAAAGATTTTCATAACCACCATTAAAAAAAAATTACCTGTAGTTTGATGACTGCTAGTAATCTGTATCTTAATTCTGAAGCTCGGATCTAGCATGCAAATAAGTAAAGGATGCTGTTAGTTGTGTACCATTGGTAAATACCATATAGACTTGCACCAAATATATTTTCCCTTCCACTACCACTCTCACCATGGCTAATAAACAACTCCGTATTGTGAGGGGTTTTCATCGCAGACACAAAAATGGTTGATTAGTGAAGCATGCAACTACACCGTAGGCTTTCCAGCGCCAAATCTATCTCAGGAGCACTTCTAGCTTATGATTCTATAGTAGGAAAAATTAATGATCTTGCTCAACCTCTTGGTTCCGAACAAACGACCCTTTCTACCAACCACTGGTTTGATGCCAATTGCCATTCTGCTAAAAGTAAATTGCGTCAACTTTTCCAACAGATGCGCACAGATGATACCCCATGGAACTTCCATCACTATTATGCAATGAAGAGGGAATGTCAAACTGTCCTTACCCAGAAAAAACATGTATATTTCATGGGAAACTGGAATAAACTTTTTCAAGCCATTAGAAACAACAGAAAGGACTTTTGGTCCCTGGTTTCAGGCTTAAATCGCCTCTATGGCACTTCCAATACTTGCCTGATCCCCCCTCAGAAATGGATTTCCTACTACACTTGTTTATTCAATAACCCCTCTATAACTGTTTCCACTAATGATTCATTAACACTTATAGATGCTCTTGAATGGCCGCCTGTTACACAAGAAGTATTTGAATTAATCTCTTCTCTCAAATCTCATAAAGCCCCAAGCCCTGATGGCATACCAGCCGAACTTCTTAAAAGTAACATTGAGTGGTGGTCCTCCTCATTGGCACCTTTGTTCACTTTGATTGACAGATTTGGCTCCCTTCCAGAAACATGGTTAAACTCCATAATAACACCAATTTTTTAAAAAGGCAATCCTAACGATATCGAGAACTACAGACTATCTATTATAGGGAAACTTTATGCCAAGCACCTGCTAAGGAAACTATCTGCATGGATGGTGGACCATAATTTGCCAGGGAAGGAACAAATAGGCTTTTACGGTGTTTTTTTCTGTTGTTTTTCTCTCTGTTACAAGAAAAGTGTTTCTGTGCATTTGTACGCCTCCCTCCCTTCTCTGCTTAAGTGACCTGCTGTCCGAAACGCCACAGCTATATTGCTCATGTCTCCGACATCAGAGTTAGAGGCTGCCATAATGCAAGGAGACATGGAGGCTGTGATGCCCTGTTGCACAGGGCTGCCAAAACAATGTTGGAAGAGTAAACCAGCTGCTTGGAGCAGTGTTATGGTGCAAAAGGCAGGAGCAATGGCCTGTCCTTTGGCCAGCTGCAAGGAAGATTTTTGTGCTGAAAGACTTGCTGCAGTCATTGCCCGCTGTCTGCATCAGCTGTCATTTCCCCCACAGCCCAGATGGAAACTATTTAGGGGGTGGTGAGTGAGCAAGGCAGTCCTGCTTCTCTGGCCCCTTTGAAGTGGGATGAAGATACCATCACTGCCTCAGTGGGGTTTCAGGTGTGACTGACCAACTTATTTAACAATGAGATGCTCAGAAAAGAACAATCTATAGGAAGAAAGAGGCATAGGTCTTCTTTAGGCACCCCCTCATCCTTCTCCATTTCTCTGAAAATACAAGCCACCCAGGGGACCCTTTGTAGGTTAGGCAACTAGGAAACCCTCATGGCTAACTAAGGTGGAACAAAAAAGTTTGCTCGCCCCATCCACTGGGAGTTTGTCACCCAGATATTCTCATTTTGAGGAGGAGGGTTCTAATACTGATTTAGGGAATTCAGAGTCTTATTTGGACAGGGAAGAAGGGGAACTGTCATATGAAAACATTTTCAGCAGACTCCCCCCAGTCTCATAGGCTGTTTTCTCGCGATGACTTGCCTCCCTTACTGTACAGAGCTCTAAAGATTCTGCATCTTTCCATTCCTAAGAGAGAGACAGAACCCAATGAGGATGATGATAACTAAGATGGGGCCACAGAGGTGTGAGGCTTTACGTTTTCTCTCATTTCCTCACTTCTTCACTAAAAGGATGAAAAAAGAACAGACTGAACCTTCAGGTCAGCATTTCTGCATCAGTCTTGCCAAGAAACTCTACTCTTTCTCCCCTAAAGGTTTCAAGGTTCTGGTGGTGGATGCCCTGTTGGCCAGCCTAGCCTCAAATTATGGCCTTACCTAAGAAGGGGGAAGACTCCTTAAAAAACTATAGACAAAAAAGTGAGTCAGCCTTGTCCAGAGCCTACAAAATGATGGCCGACTCCATTACAGCCTCAGCTGCCATCTCTCTCGTGGAAAGAGCCTTCTTCATGGGGCTTTGAAAACTCTTGAGGAAAATTCCTGATTTATCTTAAAAATTTACTGGCTTACCTCTCTAGGCTTTAGAGGGCTGTGGCCTTCATGGTGGGTGCCAGCTATGGCTTCTACAGTGGTGGCAAGAAGAAACCTAAAAAACTGGACGTGGACACTACTTCATAGGCTAGTGTAGCCACATGTCCAAGCTTTTAGGAGATACCTTGGACAGAATATGCAAAGCTAAATTATTATTAGGGACTGTGGTCTATACTACTGTATATAGTTGAGCATGTACTCTTACGTTGTAATTTGCTAAACGACATTTGAGCGAAATTTCTGGAAGTCCCCCTTAGCAAGGTAGCATGCCAACCGGATGGAAGCAAGCTACACTACTTCCTTACTTCTCGAGATTCGGAGATTATTGAATTGACTGCCAAGTTCTTTTATGCTCTTATAAAACAGAAAAATGTCCCTGATCATTCTAATTGAGTTTAATGAGTTTGTATAATTTAATTCAAGGTTTTGCGGTTGGGCAAAATTTTTCTTGTTATAATTTAAGCTTATATAAATAGACATACCTTTGTAATGCTTTTAGAAGTTATTTATTTTCCACAAATTTTATAGGATTGTTTTACCCTGATGGCAACTGTTTAATATTTTATGCCAATAAAAGGTATTTGTTGTTGTTACTACTGTATATAGCTTGCTGAAACGAGGATCCTACTATGGAATTTTGCATCATTTAATATATCATGTTAATACTTATGTTTTGCTTCAGCTCTGTTTTTAGACTTCTGGTTGGTTCTACAACCCTGATCCTATTGTTTATTGTTTTGTTTATTATTATTATTTGTTTCAAGGTGGCAATGCTAAAGTTGATTGCAGGGGATTTCATGGCATCCATAGACTTCCACGTGCTTAATTTCCCTCCAGACAAAAAGTCCTTGCATTGTGCTAGAGCAGTGGTTCTCAACCTGTGGGTCGCGACCCCTTTGGGGGTCGAACGACTCTTTCACAGGGGTCACCTAAGACCATCCAAAAACACAAATTTTCGATGGTCTTATGATAGCAACGAAAATAATTTTATGGTTGGGGGTCACCACAACATGAGGAACTGTATTAAAGGGTCGCGGCATTAGGAAGGTTGAGAACCACTGTGCTAGAGAAAAGACCGCTGTGAATTCAGAACTCTTCCTTCAGGCTGGCATCAGATCCAAGGATATTTACAAAATCAATGGTTGACTTTGTAGTGAGGCTCAGCTCTTGGGGTATCCACATACACCCCAGCGGGACGATCTAATCAGATTGCCTTCAGTGGAGAAACTGACCTGGCATGCGCAGTCCATGTTACAGTACCTGTTGTCAAATGGCTTCTTCATGAACTGCAAGAATAGCCAACTGGCCCTGTTGCAGGTGGTGACTCACCTAGAAGTAATTATGGGTTCAGTGCACATGATGCTTTTTCCCAGTTGCAGTCAATCCTGCAATCTGTGGTCCTGAGATGCTGCCAGCATGCTCCTCCAGGTAGGCCTGAGCTTGCTAATCTCCCATAGGTGCAGGGCTCTAGGCGGGGGGGAGCTCTCAGGTACGGAGCTCCGGAAGAGACCCTCTGGGGGGCGGGGCGGTCACGTGGTGAAGCCCCGCCCCTTCTTTACCCCGCCCTCTGCTTCGATCCTCATTCCGTTTGGGAATGAGGATGAAGCAGGAGGGTAAGTAGCCGGGCCTTCTGACACACTTCCGGTGATGTCAGGGGGTGTGGCCTTCTGTCACTTCCGGTGATGTCAGGGGGTGTGGCATATGCAAATAAGTTATGCTAATGAGTTATGCTAATGAGCTCCGGCAGCTCTTTTTCTACAACAAGACCCCTGCATAGGTGTGATGCATAGAGACGATGACGAAGATAAACAGGTTGCCTACCTGTAACTGATGATCTTCGAGTGGTCATCTATGCATTCACACCACCCGCCCTCCTTCCCCACTGCTGTCAGCCCCTCGGGGGGGGGTTCCTTTGGAGTTGGCATCAGTCAGAAGGAACTGGTGGGATACCAGGGCCCCACCCTCTGAGCATGAATGGTTGGAGTTCCTGCGCATGCTCGGAGGCGGGGCGCTGGATCCTTTCGAGCTTGATAGAAGTTCCCCGAATCGGAGTCGGTGCAGGAGCCTAACCCATAGGTGTGAATGCATAGATGACCACTCGAAGATCATCAGTTACAGGTAGGCAACCTGTTTTTCCTCATGCTTAAGGTTCTGTTCCTTACAGCCATTAGCTCTGCCAGGTGTGTTTCAGAGATGGAAGCACTATTTATAGTAAAAGGTTTTTACATCTTTCAAGAAGATGTGCTAATTCTCTGGATGGACCCGTCATCCATACCAAAAGTGAATTCTACCTTCCATAAGTCTTGAGAGGTTTACAAGAAGAACTAGCAAACCTTCAATGTATGCAGGGACTTAACGTATCTATATTCAGCATATGGTTTCTGTCAGGAGGTCAGAAGCCCTTTTGTAGCTTACCATCTAATGGCTAAGGGTCAGCAAGTGTAAAGCATCTCTCAGCAGGTGACTTAAGGAATGTGTCATCCTGGCACATTCTTCTCAGGGATTCAGATCTACAGTCTACTTAACCAGGAGTTCAGCCACCATAGCTGCTTTTCACACCAATACCTTGGTTCTGGAAATTTGTAGAGCAGCTACTTCTACCTTAATATGCCCTTACAAAATGGTCTCATATGCAGTGGTGGATGTGGCCTTCGGGCAGCAGGTCCTTCAGCTAGTGGTGTAAAAAGAGCAAACACAAAGGGCTGACCACCCTCCTTGGGGGGAAGTTTTGTAAAATCCCAAGTGTCAAGATGTCCTCCTATCCTTAAATGAGAAAGGAACTTTGGGCTTACTGTGAAGGTTCCTTCTATTTGAGATAGAGGAGGTCATTAGGGACCCTCCCTTGTTTAAAGGGATTCTGGTTGCTTATGGAGGATTTTCAGCCTTCTGGTCTCATCTGTCTTATATTATCTCCTGTTTACTACAGTTTTGTTAAGTGTTTTCTTCTGGGATGGCAGTGGCACTCAGCCTTGTCCCTTACTTCACTGTTCTCAGGTTAAGTTCTGTTGCTGCAATGACCAGTGGCACTCTTCATGGTTTTTTTAACAGAAAGCTCTAGAAGTATCTGAACTAAAGAACAGGTGTTACTCCCTCTCCTCAGGGATGGAAAGAATGATATAATCTTGCATCCAGGAATTATGGGAGAAGGAGTATCCAAGTGTCAGGATGTCCTCCTCTACCTCAAATAGAAGGCGCCTTCTCAGAAGTCCAAAATTCTTTGTTGCAGTTTAATCTCATCATTGTACTATTTTTAAAACAATATCTTCGCACTAATCATGTGCTTGTCCACTTGCTTGCCATATTTAACAGGAGGATGTACATTTTAAAATTAGGTTTGCATTCAACACAGTGACATTGCCCAATATAATTGTTGTTTAATGAACTAGATAAAGTTCAGAGTATAGGCTAGTGAATTTAGAAGCTTTGTAGTAAAGGAAAAATGCACAGTAACAAATATTCTTATTTCTTGCAGTTAAGAAAGATAGGAGGTGGAGGGTTTGGAGAAATTTATGATGCACTTGACTTGCTTACCCGAGAGAACGTTGCATTGAAGGTCGAGTCAGCTCAGCAGCCAAAGCAAGTTCTGAAAATGGAAGTAGCTGTGTTGAAAAAATTGCAAGGTAAGGCAGACAAAAAAAAATTCCTTGTGCTGTAGAGTGCTAAGTATCAGACACAAATTCCTGATGCTTAGAGATTAGACTCAAGTCCCTTATCTGCCTTTCTAATAACTCAACAATCTAGAGGAATCACAGTCAGCAAAATGCAGAAGAAATGTATAGAAACAAACTGTGAAAATAAGAGCAAAACCAGTAAAGAATTTTTAAACAAAGTGACTACAATAAATATATCTACTAAACACAAACAGTAGAAAAATATTCACATAATAATCGGAACAGCTTGAATCACCATAAAATAGTCCTAAAACATATAAGCAGATATAATAATCCAATTAGTGCAAAAGCCTCTAGAAAAATATTCACATAAGAATCAGCTTGAATCAAAAGAAAAGGGTCCTGAGACATAAACAGTCCAAGCAGTGCAAAAGCCTCTAGATATTTAATAACATGTGCTCCAAATCAGGAATATGAAGTCCAAAATTGATGGTAAATATAAGGATATGATAATGCTATAGATGGTAAATATTGCAGGACGAGGTGTCCGGATTCTATTCCGTGCATTTCAAAAAATGCAGACTTCTTCAGCATGTTCAAGAATATTGAATCATTAAGGAGCAATGGGGTAAAACCTCAGAGTAGAGTATCAACTCTGTATGCAGAGATACATGCAGTAATTTATTATTGTTGGTACTAATCCAGTACTTTGCTACTGGATCCAGCCCCACTCTCTCTCATGTGGTTGACTGAAGCCAGCCTTGCAGGGGTATTGCTCAGTATCATGCCAAGGAGCCAGGCAGGTGGGCAAGGACTTGTGCAGACTCTCTCAAGTTAAATAAAACTTTATTTCTACAAGGCGCAAACTGATGGTATTGCAAAGGACAGGATTTAAGCTCACTAAGGAAAATAAAAAGACAGGTGATAACTAAAGTACTTACAATTTAGGTGGCATCTGATTTGGGTAATTGCAGGATGCTGCACCCTAGTACAACTGAACTCTCTATAACATCATTCTCCTCTGTCTTCCTTCATGGCAAAACACCCGCTCCATGGAGTTCTCAACAAGGAGTCTCCCCCCCCCCAAGAGCACAAAGCAAGGAGCCCCAAACAAAGGAAGAACCCCCTTTTCAGACCCCACCCCTCACGTGTTTTGGGGTCTTCAGCCAATTTGGCTGCTAAGCCTTGGGGCTTCAGCCTTCAAAACTTGTATCCTCCAATCAAGAGGTGTTCATCCATTAAAGGGCTGGTGTGTTATCCCTCCAAGGTGGAAAGGATGCTTTGTGTTCGGCAATGAGTATCTTTTCCCCTTCCTAGCTATGAAGATGCCTGGACTACTTTCCATTACTATAAGTGTCAAGGCATCTCCTGCTCCCCCATCTCACAACTATCTCAAAAAGAATACTGGAGAGCTGGATAAAGTACAGAAGAGAGCAACCGAGGTAATGAAGAGCTTGGAGCACCTTTCTTAGTAATATAGATGTTTTCCTGACTGGGCTCTTATCCTACGGGGGGGGGGGAATCACCGTAGCAACATAACTGTGTTTCTTTTGGCACACTTTGTTAAAAACTTTTTGTAGTGTCTTGCTGAGGCTATTATAGCCATACTTATATGACTGCCTCTCTTCAGAGTGCACAGGATTGTCTGTTTCACCTATCACTTTAATTGCAATAAACCTTTCCTAAGTATAACTGCACTGATTTCTTGTGGCAGTACTTGTATTTAAGGTTCTGTACCTTCATTTTTAAAATTGCATCTCTTGGCTTCTTTACTCCATATAAATTCTCTCACAGTTGTTGTTTTCTGAGGGATGCTAATTTTTTAAAGACATATTTATGACACACAGCAAAAAATGGATTTCATGAGAGACTGTGTCTGTATGTGAGAGATGGAGTGTGCTACAGGTAGTTTTGTGTCACAGATAGCCATCGTATCTGATAAAGATAGAAGTTACTGCTTCCCTTTCTCTTCTTCTCATGCCAGTATTTTACTAAGGTCATTCCAGCACTTAATCAGCTATGAAGGTATTTATGATTTGAAGGCATGGATAAATATATTCATTCCATTGTCTTGTTAGCTTTTAACTATTATCCCTAAGGACAGAAATCACAATGCTATTCAAACTTATCCTTGCATTAACAACCCTGTGGCAGATGGCACAGGATAAATGAGCATTCTAAGCATTGTGTGGAATACTGCAGTGATTCACTCCATGCTTGGAAGGCTTAGAATTTGAACCATATGGCATATAAGAGAAGGAAGATGACAGAATTCTATGAAGGAAAACTAGACAGGAGTGAATGATTAACTGGTAAAATCTAAGGGATTAATGAGAACAGGAAAATACGGCAAAAGCTTTATTTTATACACAATTGATTTGCAAGATGGATCGTGGAGAGGGCTGTTTCAGGTATAGAAAACTACTTGGTAGACAGCACAAATCAGGGAACACGGTTGCCAATTTTTCTTCACTTTATGTGGCTTCCTGTTTTGGTGCCTGAGCTGGGATTCTCTTTTCTTTAAGTTGGAGCAGTCATTGCAGAAAATAATGGGTTGTATCAGGTGAACTGCCCTTTACTCCCTCTTCTGCTAGTGGAGCTTCAGAAGCTCTACTCCAGTACCACCAGGCTACAATAGAACTGTACTTGAACTTCATAGTAAACTATGAAGTTGGTAAATCTGAGGCTCTCATGAGTGTGGTACGGTCTTCTAAAAATGTAATTCTTCATGTGCTCGAAAGCAGTCATTTATTCAAACCAGAGAATCACTAGAGTATTGCCACCGTATTATCAATTTAGTTGCAGGAACCTTTAAACTCGCATCTATTTAAAGTATGATCAAAATGGATACTGCAGTTTAGCTGAAGTCTGATTGGTGCTAAGTACTGCTGTGTAATGTTTTCCTGAACTGAATGATTATAGTAATGCAATCCAGAATGGCCTTGTCCTTTTTTTTGTAACAGTATTTATTTGACATGTATCTGAGATCTATGGTAACACAGTCATACTTCATAAAAGTATTACAACTCATCCATCTGCTGTACCATTTGTCGTTCTGCACTGGGGTTACTGTTCTCCCAAGTTTCCCCTTCTCTACCGAGTTATTTATAAATATACTTTCCATCACATCCTGGTCACCAATAGAAATACTAAACTGCTCTGGACCTGAAGGAAAGCCTTGTTAATTCACAGGAATTATTTCTTCATAGTTTGCAACTGCTACATTAACACTTACCTCAAGTCTGTCTTTTTCACAGATTCCATACTCATTGCAAAGTAGTATTTTCTAATCTGAGCTATCCTAGCTGGTTTGAACAGAATGAAAGCTAAAATAGGAGCAGTCAACTAGGCCCAATGTTAGGCATTGATGCCGCTTGTAGAGACAGGATGTTGGGTGGAATGATGCTTTAGTCACATAATATTGTTTGAAAATACTTTGTAGGTATCTTACCACCATGTTTGGGGTTGGAAAAGAATCTTCTCCAGATCAGTGTGATTTGTGACCTTTTTTCATATTATATTTTTTTAAATTTGAGGGAAGTACAGTTCTACAATATTCTTCCAAATACAATGAACACTGAAAATACTGTAAATACAATATTCTGTGCTGGTAACAGGAGATACAGTGATGTTGGGTGGACCAGGTAAGGAGAAATATTAGACAGTAATTGTTCTCTCTTACCAATGATTCATCACTGGATCCAGCAGATCAGGTCCAAGGTAAAATATCTCTCATCTATAATCTGTCGCTGGCTGAGGAGGTATGCTTTGTGTATATCATAGAGACTTGGATTTGCCCGAACTATTGTGCCTGAACTGTACTGGTTGCCAATTTAGTGTTTGAGGGCAATGCAAAGTACTAGAGCATACTTTTTAAAGTTCTGAACATATTGAGGCATGGGTACTGCCTTCTTCATGTGTATCAATCAACAGTAAGATAATATCAGAGGCTAAAGTTGCCAAATCCTACCTTCTTTTTTTTTTTGGTCAAAACAATTTTTATTGAACTTTTTAAAGAAATAACATAACACATAGTGGGCAGAAAACGTTACATTACACAAAACATGAGCATATATACTAATTTGAACAATAAACAATTTACCAAAGATATAACTTATTAATTATATTTGGTATTTTCTCTTGTTGAGATAAATGATCTAAAATAGGGAACCATACAGGTACAAAATCAGACACCAAGTCCTACCTTCTTAATAGCAGGGGAGTCCTGTGCCCCGTCCAGGAGGTCTTTTTTATGCGTGTGCTGCGGTGACATCACCCGGAAGTGACATCATCACGCTGGGCATGTTGCCAGGCGACGCTCTAGCAATCAGCCTAAAAACTCTGTTACCATAGAGTTTTCAGGTTGGTTGCTAGAGCCCAGCGACGTGCCCAGCGTGATGACGTCACTTCCGGGTGACGTCATCATGCCGGGCACTTCAGCCCGATCTGGCCACTTTGGGGGTGGAGTTCCCCCCCACCGGCCGGATCTGGACCAGCGGGTTGGGGGCCTTTTTGGCGGGGAAAACCCTGCCCCCCCGGGGGACCTGGTAGCCCTATCAGAGGCCCAATAAACTTCCCCATTTAAGAGAGTGGCTTTTAGGAAAAGGGTCTTCTCTGTGGTGGCATCTTTGATCTTTTATCGCACAACCATACATCTGGCACATTCTTTTCTAAGCTTTAGATGCTGTGTAAATCATTTTATTTTCCCACTGTTTTTTTTTTTTGTGTGTTACTGAATTTTCGTACTTATTTAAAATGTTTGGGTTTCATTGTTGCAAAGCTACACCCTGTGCTGTTATATGTTTATATTCATATGCGGCTATATTGAATTGTTTTGAATATTGCCTGCTGATGTTACCATTTTAATGTTTATTGCTTACTAATTATCTTATGACATCTTACGGTTTTATCTTTGTCTGCTGCCTCCTTACAGTTTTGAAGTAGTGTATAAATAACTTAAATGACTCTTACACTGTTTTCATCCTGGAATATCTCTCCCTTGCACCCATGTCGGTTTTATGTATACTGGGGAAGACTTATAAGTACTTGTAGTTTTCCCTACTGCAAGTAAAAGTTATTTGTACATGTGATTTTTGGTGAAGAGTGGTGGAAGTGGAAAGAATTCCATAGAGTTTCTTCTCTCTGCTTCTCCCCTCTTCCAAATTGGAGCCCTGGCACCAGCATTTTGTTAAAATTAAAGGGTTGGAGAAAACACACCACATGTTTTCTTCTTGTAGTTCTGCCTTTAGAAAATTTCTAGCCTAGGCTTGTATCATGGTTTTTTTAAAAGGCGTAGAAAGGGTTCTAATTATGCAACTGTAGGAAGGCAGTATTTCTGTTCACAGTAGAAACTAAATTTCCCTTCTCTGTATCTTTCTGCCTTGTTAATGAAATAATTAATTTTGCTTTTTTGTAATAGGAGGGGAATGAGAAGCAAAATGTGGTTCCTTAGGGCTTCTTCTAGTGAAGCTTTCAACACAAATTGGTTGAAATCTTGTGTTCAGTATGATGTATTCTTCCAAATTCGTGCAGCGTATATGTACATCTTGTCTTGCTTTCTTTTCCTTTTGGATATTAACTCTCAGAGTGTGTCTGAGTTTGTTCATAAAATGCACATTAAACCTACAGCCTGCAAATTTCAGCATTCGATGCATTAGGCATGTCTGCCTACTTTTCAGGACTTTTAAAATAGCCTAAATGATTAGTCTTATTTTCTTGCTATTTTCTTTTCTATAGGAAAATATTTACAGTTTGACCTTTTCATTTGAAATGAATTTTACTAAAACTGGCTATATTCCCCCCCCTTTTAATTAGTCAAATCAATAAAATGTTAAGTTCTGCTTTGGCTGAACATAGTTTAATAGTGTCATTGCAATTTCTTTCTTCGTTGAACTTCAACTTTAATAAAAAGCTAATTTCAAAGTTGGTTTTCAAACTAGTTAGGGAATTATTGCTCCAATTAAAACTGGCTTCCTGAGTCAGCTCTGATTTAAAATGCCTTTATTACATTGGGGAGATGGAGTAAGATGCAGTAAAATATGGCCGTATAAGCATGTACAGCCAGAATGCTGCTGCATCTGTAAAATACATTATAAATGTTGGTGCTAAGGTCTCATTAACTGCACACTGGTGTATATTGGAAAAACAATGCATGCTGTATATTTTTTTTACCCCAAAGTTATTGCATTTTAAAGAAATTCTGAAACAAATTAGTTTCATTGGGTAAATTCACTAACATTGATAGTTTTAAACTTTATCACAATTAAAATATTTTAAATTTTGAAAGTGTTTCTGTTTCCTGAGCAGTTAAGAATATTTGATCAAATGGCTTGACATTTGCTTGCCATTATATTTCAGCATATAATTATGACAGCTTTGAAAAAATGGAAACTGGACCTTGTGGGAAAGATGTCGTCATAGTTTATTGACACTGGACTTTCACACATTGAGATAAATTTTGGATAGTGGTACACTGTTCATTTCATGGATATTGATATAAAAATTGGAGAGGGGGGTTAAACAGGATAATGGAAACACTGAAATTTGTTCTTGTTTGAACACTTGCTTTCACACAAATGATTTATTTTTAACTTTAAAGGCATGTAGTACCTTCTCAAAATGTAATTTATGAAAAAATAAGAAATTATATGCCTTTTTTCCCCTCAGGGAAAGATCATGTCTGTAAATTTGTTGGCTGTGGAAGGAATGACAGATTTAACTATGTTGTCATGCAGTTGCAGGTGAGTATCTTACATTCTGACTTCATTGTCTAAATCAGTGGTTCCCAGCCTTTCTGGTATAGTGGCCCACAAGTCCAAATTTACTTGGTATGATGACCCACTTAAAAAAAAAGCATGTACAAATCAATAAAACTGTAAAAGCCTGGGACTCAGTCTTCGTAACCCACACTTGGGTCAAGACCCACAGGTTGGGAAAAACTGGTCTAAATGAAATTAGTTGTGTGAAAAGTAACTATGGGAATGAAAGAATCGTTTGCACGTAAATTTCCTTAGGCAAAAAATTCTGGCATGAGAAGAAGAAGAGGAGATTGGATTTATACCCCACCCTTCACTCAGAGTCTCAAAGTGGCTTACAAACTCCTTTCCCTCCCCCTCCCCCTCCCCACAACAGAGACACCCTTTGAGGTAGCTGGGGCTGAGAGAGCTCTTTCCAGAACTATCCTTGAGAGAACAGCTCTGGCAGAACTATGGCTTTCCCAAGGTCATCCAGCAGCTGCAAGTGGAGGAGGAGGGAATCAAACCTGGTTCTCCCAGATTAGAGTCTGTGCACTTAACCACTACACCAAACTGGCTTTTGAAAAAGCCAGTTGAAAAAGCTGTAGGCAACAGTACACTAGTTGGGGCTCTAGAAAAAAAAAAAAAACTTCAGTCTTCCTGAATGTCACTAAGGTAGTAGAAGAAGAAGAGATTGGATTTTTACCCCACCCTTCACTACCCGAAGGAGTCTCAGAGCAGTTTACAATCCCTTTCCCTTCCCTTCCCCACATCAGACACCCTGTGAGGTAGGTGGGGCTGAGAGAGAGCTTTCAAGAACTGCCCTTGAGACAACAGCTCTGAAAGAACTCATGACTGACCCAAGGTCACACCAGAAGCTGGATATGGTGGAGTGGGGAATCAAACCCGGTTATCCCAGATTAGAGTCTGCAGTCCTAATTACTATACCAAACTGGCTCTCAAGAAAAATCTTGAGAAACAGGAATAAAGGGAAGTAACAGAACTACCACAGGGCAGCAGCACGCTTTATTTTCCCTGAAGAGGAGCCTTTTAGGAAACAAAATATTTGTGTGGGGGGGAAAGGGTGATCTCTTGCTCACACACAAACAAAATCCTGTGACAAGAGCAGTTTGAGTAGAATTCTGTCAACCTTTGTTTTGAGCATAGAAATGTCAGCATGTATAGGAAATTCAAGAATTTAAAATTTTCCAGACTGCTGCAAAAAGCTGGGCCCCCAGACTCACCTTGGACCCTGTTTTCAGGCCTATGGGGACAGAGGAGGAGGCAATGCTTGTTCCTGGCAGGCCCAGGCTGTGTGGTTGGGAGGGGACGTGGGTACCTCTGTGGCTGCTTGGGTGCTCTCTGCCTTTCTTCTCGTGGCGGGGCCAGTCAGGCAACGCCTAATATGGTTGTGGGTAGGGGGTGGTCCAGTCCTGATTTAAAGGGCTTGCTGCACCCTGTGGGTTCAGTTTGGCCTTGTGGCTTTGCCTGCCTACCCAGCCTAGTTTTTGTTGACTGTGTGATGCATGTTATCATCGGAGTTATGATGGTTGTGTTTGTTGCGCTTTATGTTCCTTTATCACAATGGTGGTATCAGCATGGGGCCCAGTTTTCCCAAGGTGGGGGATCACCTTAAGGGATTTTGGGGTGAGGATTCAAGGGGTATGCCCAGCTTGGATCTGTCAAGGCATCCTCACTCTCAAGTGGTCAGGAGACCAGAAAGCAGCTACCATCCACCTGGATGCCACCATCTTACCATCCCCTGGTTAATCCCTTCCCCTAGCAGGCAGGCTGGGGGTGAGGTGGGTGGTTTCATTGGCTGGCAGGTGGGTTGGCCAATTCCTGAATCCGATTTGTTTGCCCCATGCTGTGCCAAGGCTCTTGCAGCTGCTGTAACCAATAAAGTGCCTCACTTCCTCCTCCCTCCCTGACACTGTATCCACAAAACAGTTTCCCAGGGAGGAAAAACACCTAGACTATATCAACAAGGTTTAGTCTCTCTGTTGCTTTTTGATGTTTTGGCACAAGCAGAATCAAATGATGCAGAGCTGTGCCAGTGCCATCCTAGGAACAGCTCCACCCTTTTATGCCCATTGAAATAAACGAAGGGTATAGAACTGCTTAGAATGGCATTGCACATCACTTAGTGGACTTAGACTGGGGTAGAAGAGAGTTTGAGTCCAGTGGCACCTTTAAGAACAGCAACGTTTTATTCAAGGTATAAGCTTTTGTATAAGACTGGAGTAGCTCTGCACAGGATTGCTCTGTGAATCATAGATTCTTTTATCTATTAAAGTTTTATTGAAATTTTGTAAACATCAGAATCATGCATTCTTAAAGCCCTTTAACCTCTCTCTCTTTTTTTCTTGATGACAATGTGTATGTGTTATGGGAGAGTGGAGCCACTTTGGTAGTATGTGCCAGGGTCCCCAGCATGGTGCCCATGGGCACCAAGGTGGGCCTTTTCTGGCACTTACCAAGTGTTTTTAGAAAGTAAGCAGCGCCAGATAGGCTTTTACCCAGTAAGGCTTCTGATTGGCTATGCAGATTTTCAAAAAACATTGCTTTGGAAGTAGCTGCTACCACAGCACAAGGATCTTCACTGTGTGACTGAAGGTAAGCTCTGGCAGTCATTTTGTAGTTGGCTCCATCTCCTTCATGTGCACAGGCCAGCCACACAAAAGTTTTCCAAAGCTTTCTAGTAGACTTTTGTAGTCCTCTTGTACTTTCCCAGCAAAACAATCATATGACCTGGAGGAGGGGCACTACCACTCAGTCCTCTCCATGCAGCTGCTGGAGACACCAAGAAAATAAGATTCCAGAGAGTTTACAACAGGGCAAGAAGGGAGGGGATGTGTGCCTCCATAGGAGACCACTCAATGGACAACAGTTATAGGTAGATGCAATCCTGTTTTCATCATTGTGGCTTCTTTGCAATCCCACAATGTGAGAGTAGCAAGTTCACGGAGTTAAGGAGGTGGGTGTGAAGCTCTCAAAGGACGTTGCGGCACACTGAGTGAACATTTTCAGGAGGTGGGTGTGAAGCTCTCAAAGGAAGATACCATGGAGGACTGCCTTCCCAAAGTTGCTTACCGTCCCATATTGCTATTCATCCAGAACTGTCATAAAGGAGCAGGGAGGTCTCTACAGGTGTCCCAACTGAAATACATGCAGGAATATGGTAAAGAAGAACAGTACTCTGTTGGAGAGAGCCGTGATATGTAAAGTGGCATTGAACAGCCACACATTCAGGACAGAGTGAGAAATCTTCTACAAGATGCTGACCTGTCCTTCTTGGAGCCTGAGAGACCAATACAAAGTAGTGTTGGGTCCCTAGCAGACCAAAACCCAAGAAAAGCCACATTCAACGAGTGTAAGGAGTGCACATATGTTTGGCATTAGAACAAGCGTAAGGATAGCATTGCAGCCATGAGGACTGAAAGACAATCCTTGGTAGGGAATCCTGGCCAGAACATCAGACACTCTAACCTTGTTAAACTTCATTGGTTAGAATGAAAAACAAATCTGGGTATCCCCAAAGTATAACAGAGAAATTTTGCTTCCCACTCTGGTTAACAGTTTACAGTGCCCACTCTCCCCAGTGGCTGAATTAGAGATAAAGTGCTATTTAACCTGCAGGCCATCAACAGCAATAGAGATGACCAGTGGAATCCAGCATATATTTGCTAAAGGATTGTAGTAGAGGATGTAAAATCAAGCTAATCATTAGAGTTTGCATGTCAAAGATTTTATCTTATGGGGCACCTGTTTTGAGTAGAAAAATATCTTTCAAAAAGACAAGTTTGGAGTGTATTTGTACCCCATCTTACGTCTCAATAGGGACTCAAAGTAGTTTATAACATTTTACACTTTCCCATTCTGTCCTCACCAGAACCCTGAGAGGCAGGTCAGGTTGAGAGAGTGCGATGGGTCCAAGGTCACAATCAAGTTTTCAGACAGAATGGCATTTGAACCTGGGTCTCCCAGATCCTAGCCCAATGCACTAACCACTATACCACAATGATCTTTGCTACAAATGGTGTCATATAAGAGTGACTCCAGAGGCAGTCTGAACTGAGTTGAAATAAGAGCTCTCTCCCTGAAGCAGCAGTGAGATTGAGAACCCTGGGGGGAGTCAGTGCTATTCCTTGGTAGGAAGGAGTGTGTGAACACATGACATTGCCAGGGGAAAATTGCCTACAAAAGCATTGGGCTTCAAGGTGCAGGTTTATCATCAATATTGAAAACAGTAGCAGCCAAGAAGCACTAAACCATCAATGATGATTTCAATGGCTACCAAGGAACCGATAGGAGAGGTTCAGGTTAGCCTCCAAAAATCATACTTGCCAATCAATTCTGAGTTCCCCATGGAGATGGCAATAGCAATCCTTGCCTCTGCTTAAGAACATAAGAAGAGCCCTGCTGGATCAGATCACAGGTCCATTTAGTCTAGCATCCTGTCTCATACAGTGGCCAACCAGTTCCTTTGGACAGCCAACAACAGGGAATAGAGGCCAAGGCTGTCCCCTGATGTGCCTCCTGACTCTAGTATTCAGAGGCTTAGTGCCTCTGAATGTGGAGGTTCCCCTTAGTCACCATGGCTAGTAGCCATTGATAGACTTATCCTCCGTGAATCTATCTAATCCCCTTTTAAAGCTGTTTATTCCTGTGGCCATCACTACACCCTCTGGCAGCAAATTCCACTTTTTAATCACTCTGTGTAAAGTGGTATTTCCTTTTGTTCGTCCTGAATCTACTGCTCATCAGTTTCATTGGATGCTGTTGAGTTCTAATATTTTGGGAGAGGGAGAAAAATTTCTCTTTGTCAACTGCCTCCATCCCATGCATAATTTTATAAACCTCTTATTATGTCCCCCCCCCCAGTCATCTCTTTTCTAAACTGAAAAGTCCCAGACTCTTCAGCTTTTTCTCATAGGGAAGATGCTCCCAACCCACTAATCATCTTGGTTGCCCTCCTCTGTACTTTTTCCAGCTCTGCATTTTTTTTTAGTTACGGTGACCAGAACTGTTCACAGCATTCCAAATGAGGCTGCACCATAGGTCTATATAGGGTCATTACAATATTGGCTGTTTTTATTCTCAGTTCCATTCCTAATAATCCCTGATATAGAGTTTGCTTTTTCCATTGTGAGCTGATGGTTTCTGGTTCTATGAGTGTGTTTATGGAGCTCCTGCACTGAAAATACTTTCTGACTTTCTCAGGGTCGGAACTTGGCAGATCTACGTCGAAGTCAGTCTAGAGGGACCTTCACAATTGGTACTACCTTGCGACTTGGAAGGCAAATTCTGGAGTCTATTGAAAGCATTCATTCCGTTGGGTTTTTACACCGAGATATTAAACCAGTGAGTTTCTCCATAAATATTTGTCAAAATGAAGAATTTATGTAAAGTGCAACTGCTGTCTTTATATTGTGGTTTATTAGTCGGTGATCTCACAAGGAAAACTAGAAAATTGGATATAAACCTGTTAAGATAGCAGTGCATATTTAAAAGGGTAATGCTTGATTTGTATTTTTTTATGTATCTGCTTTTGATCAACATTAGAAGTTTTCATCCAGCAATAATAATTGTTTGGGCTATAAAAGAGAGCATGTAATATTAAAAAAAAATCAAGAGTGATAACAGTCTCCACTGAGACCTTAACTAGTGTTATTTCCCAACATAGTAAGAAGCTGGTAGATTGCTTAGGCTTGCCAGTCTGCAGGTGGGGGATCCCCCATTTTTGTGGGCTCTGTAACACATAGTAATAAAAGACTGCCATTAAAGATGAAATCCCCACCCCCAGGCATCCCCATGTGATCTCACTGACAAGCTGGTGTGACTTCTGGAAGTGACATAATCCATTGGCGATGTTGGAGATGACGCTCTGCTTTTTGGTCAAAACTCTATGGTTTGTAGCTTTTTTTTTTACCATAGTGTTTCCTCCAAAAGTAGACCGTTGCCCTGACGGCACCAATGCAATGATGTCAGTTCCAGAAGTGACATCAGTGTGTCAGCAATATTCCTGCCCACCCCCCGAATGCCCCCCAAATCCCCCCGCTGGCAGGAGAAAGGCACCTGATATCGCTGCAGCAATTAATTTCATTTAGACGATAGACCACCAAAAGACTTAGACTGATTCTGCAAAAGCAGTTGTTTTGGCCTCAGACTCCCTAAAAAATAAGGATCAAGAAGACGCAGAAAAACTCGGGGGGAGATGTGGGTCAAAATGTGGCCACGCAGCAAATAGTGGGAAATTTAGCAGTACAACCAGGGGAAACGGGAGACTGAGGGTGGAACAACTGCTTTTGTGGAATCAGTCATATTTTTTTTCTATTGGTTTTATTTACAAATATACTTATTAGGATCCAGATAAATATGGGAGATCTATGTGTATCATTCTCAAGTGTTTAAAAAAGGCACACAGAATTCTGATTTGTCCTAATTGTAGGGAGAGAGAGGCTTAAGTGATTTGTGGGCTTCCTTGTTTGCCCCAGTGGGGCAAAGAACAGCTCTGCTAGGGCCACCTCAAACTAGGAAAACTATGCAAGGGGGAAGACTTACCCCCCCACCCCACAAGTCTTGATCTAAACTGAGGTCCTATTCGGATTTGACCTTCAAAATCTTATGCCACTGTTGTTCTAGTACCTCCCCATGTGTCCCCCAAATTAGTTAAGTTAAACCCAGAGTGCTCTCTTTTCTCCTTGTCTAAATTCAAATTGCAGATAAGTTGCTCATTCAGGAAAAGCCTCTGCAGTAATTGAAAATTATTAACATGTTTTTTGTCATGTCTTTGGCTGTCCATTAGGCAGCATTTAAGTTCACTTCAGCTCATTGAAATCGATGGGTTTATATGCATTGAACATTGCATCAGATTGGGGCCTCTGTGTTGAAACTCATAAGGTTCCAATTTCAAATCCGAAACTATTAAGCCATCTTCAGTGGCTGCAGTTTTTCAGGCCAGGGTTAAATATTGGGACACACATGGCTGCTATTTAAAGCAGCAATCCCTTATTTCTTTCTCCTGTAACACATAGTAATAAAAGGCTGACATTAAAGTTGAAACCCCACATCTTCTCCCCATATCATCTATGTTGTATTTAATGTTGGGATGGTGGGAAGCCCTGACCTGAATGGCCCAGGCTAGCTTGTTTGCTTCAGATCTCAGAAGCTAAGCCAAGTTGGTCCTGGTTAGTGTTTGAATGGGAGACCATCAAGAAAGTCCAGGGTCGCAATGCAGAGGCGGGCAACAGCAAACCACCTCTGAAGATCTCTTGCCTTGAAAGCCCTACAGGGTTGCCATAAGTTGGGTGCAACTTGATGGCGCTTCACACACATGCGCACACACACACATGCAAACACGTGTGGTGGGAAGATGTAGGGTTTCGAGTTTTTTGTGGCAACCATGCATATGACTAGTTCTGGCCTTAAGGACAGAAGTATTTATTTGTCTGTTTATTTACTACAGGGGTGGCCAAACTTGCTTGACGTAAGAGCCACATAGAATAAACATCAGATGCTTGAGAGCCGCAAGACATGAACAAATATTACACACACGTTTTTATTGAAAAATATGCAAACTTGTTTTTTATTAACATTAAATGAGACTGCCAAAAATAAAAACAAAAGGGGTAAAAACAGAGATTGATAATGATATTTATTTGTCCAATGATATTTAGTTGTCAGAGAGCGAGCGAGAGAGAGAGAGCGAGAGCGCAGATTCTGGGGAGAATAGATGAGGGAATGAGTGAGGGAGAGGTGGAAAGAAAGCAAGTTTAATGTTAAATGCATCCTCCAACTCCCTCACCCCCCTGCCGGCTGGCTTGGCAAAGGGATTTAAAGAAAAAAATGCCTTCTCCGAGCTGGCTGGCGGGGGTGGGGGGGCTTTGAGAACACATCTAAAGTTGCTTTCTTTCTCTGCTCCCCCCCATTTCATGCCTACCCAGTGAGGGGAACACCAGCTGGGGAAGGGAAGACTGATCAGGGAGGCATGCCTCCCCTTTGCTTTTGCAGCCGCCCTGCCGGGAGCCACATAGTATGTGTGAAGGAGCCACATGTGGCTACCAAGCCGCAGTTTGGCCATCCCTGATTTACTTCATTCATACCCCATCTTTCTCCCCAGTGGGTATCCAGAACAGCTTACATTGTTCTCCTCTTCTCCATTTTATCCTCACTTCAACCCTGTGAGGTAGGTTAGGTTGATTGGCTCAAGGTCACCCAGTACTATTTGTGGGATCAAAATATCTGGGCAGAACATACATGTTCACAAGGGTTTTACTATGTTTCCATTCCTATGCCCTTATCAAGAAAGTTTGGGGACCTTGTGGAGCAGCATGAACAGTTACTGCCAAAAAGGGTGGATGAAGAGCATTGAAGGGCACATAGAAATGCTTGGTCATGTGCATATTAGGCTGTTTTGGTCCTGGTCTTCATTAGATTGTAAAATTTCAAGGTTATTTCATGCTAGTACCTAGCCTCTGCAAAAGTAGCCCATTCAAACCCCACAATGCCTCTGACCTGCTGGAGACAATGTGGGGAATGGAGGACTTTTACCATGGTTGGTGGTCCTGTAAACTGATAGGTAAATTTTGGACTCTCATTCAAAACCAAATCCATATAATCATTGGCCATTTGATTCCCCTATCCCTGGAATTAATTCTTCTCAGTCTGTGGGAAAATTGCAAAATCTCTAAAGCAAAACAAGAACTAGTTATGATAATGTTAATTGCGGCTAAATATCTTATTGCATCTCATTGGAAGTCCGCATCAATTCCATCGCTGCAAGAATGGCACTTGTAATTATGGGATTTATTCATCCTGGATAAAATCATGTACAATCTGGATAAATTTAGAGGTACCTCAGGCCAATCCAGTCTCCTAGAGAAATGGCAATCTCTAATGCTCAAGTATTGGTCTGATCTCTCAAATGATCGCTATGTTTTAAGTAAAAGCCAACTCTCTCTTCTCTGCTCACACTGAATAGATTGTATCTATTCTTTAGTCTAACGCACTGTTCCACTGCTGGTGTAAATCTGTGTTGTTTAATAAACTTCTCAGCCCTGCATTTGTACTTCTAGTTCACTGTGTTTAGTTGTTCACACTCAATTTTACTGATGGTTTGTAACCTTATTATACAGTTCAGTATTTCAATTCTGTGTACTTGAATGATTGTACCCTGTTCTATTGAAAGGTTGTAATATTATGATTAAATAAAATATTTAAATTTAAAAAATTACTGTTTAGGTAAGAAATTTGGTATAAAATTCTGGGAGTCTACATTTCTTAATGATGCCCCTTTTTAAAGAAATTACAGAGGAATACAGAAGGAAACTCAATAAATCTATGTAGACAAACACATCTTATTATAGCAGAGTACTAATTTCCTTGATATGGTAAGTGTAATTTTGAACCCAAGATTGTGGATCTCTACAAAATCTCTAAATGTTATAGCAGTGAAGGACTCTTTCCTCCTTTGGTCATACCGTGTGAAATGTGATGTATTTCTTTTGTTTTACTGGTTATAAATATGAAGTGAAGGCACACATTTTAGTAGATATTTTATATGGTACAAGGGATAAAAGTAATTTTATTTTCTTTTTCTTCTAGTCCAACTTTGCTATGGGGCGTTTTCCTAGCACTTGGAGAAAGTGTTACATGCTGGATTTTGGCTTGGCACGTCAGTTTACAAATTCATGTGGGGATGTCAGACCAGTAAGAAACTCTAATAAATGTTTTATACAAAGGACATTTAATTTGATGTACAGAACTGCCTCTTAAGATGTTCACTAGCTTTAATTCTTTTACTCATGTCTGATGCATCCTTTTTACAAACAGAGATGCTTATATGATCTCAGTGGTTAATGTAAAGGAATGGGAGTTGGATGTAATCATGTTTCTAATTTTGTCCTGAGCTATTGACATATTCTGTGACCTTGACCAGTGTTGTATACTTTATGTGCATCAGCTGGCGTATCCAGATGGCAAACAGAGTAAAAAGCTACGTTTCAATACTGGATTGTGTGGCTGAATCAGTCTTTACCTAATTTAAAAATAAATAAGATTGTGGAAGGAATAATTTTAGTATAAAGAGCTATATTATTTCAGAGTTGTATTATTTCATTCATTTAACCAATTTCATTACAATCTGTTTGATATAGCTCCATTCACGAAAATATAGAGTAGAAAAAGATTATATAAATATATAAGAAGGAGACATTGTGTGATCTATTTGGACAGGAGATGATGTGGATATCTGAATATGTTGATAGTAGAGCCTTCTTACAGGTTAATAGTAGAGCCTTCTTAAAGGTTCTTACGTTAAAATTATTTTGCAGATAAATCGTTATTCATTTATATCTTTTGTACCATTCAGAGTCCATGACTGACATGAGAACAAGATGCAATACGTTTCACAAAATATATCTTATTCATTTGTTTAACTCATTCTGTTTTACTATGCTGAATTCACAAGCATATTACGCAAGTTTTGAAAGTTTTCATACATATTAATAATACAGATCTCTTGAACATCTGCATCTTGAATTTACTAAAATGTCATGAAATTGCTTTTGTTTCATAAAAATTTATAAATGAGTGGTTTGCTAAGAAAAAAAAGTTATAATTTTACTACTAGCAGTCATATTAGAATGACTTAGAGGATGATGTAAAGCATTAAAAGAAGTTATTGTAGCCAGATGATAGGTATAGATATTTTTAATCACATCATAAAGGGAGAATGAAAGAAGGTGGATTTTTTCCAGACTGGCAAGAGATTGCTGTCAGTATGTATGCCCATAAAGCTGTTGATGATTATTGAACATGAATCAACTCCTTTGTTAACAAGGGAAGCTTTCTGTTGAACTTGGAGTGGTATTGCAGTCTCTTATGAGTCTTAGCTCACTCAGTTGGCTATTATTCACGCAGGTCTGTCAATAGGTAGCTGAATCAAAGCAATTGGAAAGGCAATATGGAGGATGGTGAAGTCTTCAGTAGATATTCACTTAATCCACTGCAGTTTTTACAGACAGGATGGCTCCAAATTCTATTAAAATGATGTATATCCTATATATATAAAAGGCAAGCTGTGGTGGTAACAACTCACCTACTCTTCCATTGGCCACTGGGGAAGCTGCCTTGATGTCCTGTTGGCCCATCTTGCTGGCTCCTCCATTCTCACGCCCCCACTTTTGATGCGTTGCACCTTGGAAGTTATAGTTCTCAGCTGGCCTTACTGCAACCATAACAAAGGGAATTAGAACTACAACTCCCAAGTTGGGAGTTCCAAGAGGCTGCAGGGCAATCAGTTCAACAGTTAATCATTTAAAGTGGTAAACAGGAAGCAGCTTTGGAATTGAAAAGGGTTGGGGGGGGAAAGGGAAGGCCTGGACATCTCTCTGAGGCTGTGGGGCATTATCAGAGCGTCAGTTAAACTATTTAACTGATGTTAAATGGGAATCAGCTCTGGAATTGAAAGGGTTGGGGGGAAAGGGAAGGCCTGGACATCTCTCTGAATTACAATTGATCTCCAAACTACAGAGATTAGTATTATGAATTGGTGTACCCTATGGAGAAAATGGTCGTTTTGGAGGGTGAGCTCTATGGCATTATACCTCAAGTCCTTCAACAAACCTGACCCTCCCCTTAGTATTGACAACTTCCAGGCAGCACCTAGAGATCTCCAAGATCGGTTCTCCTGGAGAAAATGGCTGCTTTGGCCAGTGGACTCTGGCATTATACCCTGCTGAGGTCCCTCCCCAGGCTCCACCCCTCAAATCTACAGGTAATTCCCAACCCAGAGTTGGCAACCCTGTAATTGGCTATGGAACCGCTTTCCAGACCCTTGGAACCCAGAAAGCATGGAGAGGAGGTGCTTTTCTACCTTAGTTGCCACTGCATAGCCCCAAATCAACGCAAGTCAGGGGTGGAGGGATGCATACCTGTTACCATGCAGCTCTCCTCCCATACTACCCACTTGGGGCAGCAAAATGAAACAGCCCTGCCTTTGCTGATGTCATGTTCACATTCCACATGGACCACAGAAAGGCACACGATGACACTTTACACCAATGAGATGCATAGGAACTATAACCGGCACAACATCTTCGGCCAATAGAAACCGGACTCTGCACTGTAACCCTCCAAATGCCTCCACATTCTGATTTCTGCTTTTCATTAATAAATAAAGTTTATGGCCAGCATCTGCCTTCTAAAAATGCCTCGCCTTCCTCTATTTTCTCCTTCCCTACCCCGCCCCACCCCACTAGCTACATCGGGGACACTCACCTGGAGCCTCTTCCTAGAGCTTATTGTATTTCTTCCCACAATGGGCCTTACTCCTAGTATTAATAGAAATGTGAGTCCCTCTCCGAGATAACGTTTCTCTGATTTTAAGGGTTTTTTTCATGTAGGTCAGCTTAGTATGCGATCTTATGTTTCTATGTTTCCTTCTGATTCCTGAAACTGGAATGGTAAAAAGGAGAATATCAAGAGTTTACTACGAGTACTGAATAGTCCTAGATGACTGATTGAAAATTAACCCCCATGTACAACTGAATGAACTCTGACCTGGATAGCCCAGGCTAGCCTGATCTTGTCAAATCTCAGAAGCTAAGCAGAGTCAGCCCCTTAGTATTTGGATGGGAGAACACCAAGGAAGTCCAGGGGCATGATGCAGAGGCAAGCAAAGGCAAACCACTTCCGTTCGTCTCTTGCCTTGAAAACCCTACGGGGTTGCCATAAGTCGGCTGTGGCTTGATGGCACTTTCCATCACCACAACTGAAGGAAGAAGTTGTTTATATTAAAATACACCCCAAGACCCAAGCTACTTTACATAAGAACATAAGAGAACATAAGAGACGCCAGTGTTGGATCAGGCCAAAGGCCCATCCAGTCCAACACTCTGTGTCACACAGTTTGCGTTAGCTTTAGTTTGATTTCTCAATGCAAATAATCCTATGGGTTACTGGATTCATTCTGATGACTTTTAAAGTCATGTAGAAGTAGAGTAAGTAGTAAAACTTTCCATACAACCTTTTGCCTCCCCAGGAGTAGATCTGAATTAAGTGCTCCATTACCTCCCGTTTTCTGAATCCATTTTTTTTCAGT